AGTAAACACTGAGTGCATATTGCAATTTATTTGATTTTGTTATTTATTTATTTTTTTTAATCCATGGCCGAAGCGAGTGTCAATAAAAAACTAAAACTAGAACAGAAAAAAAAAAAAAAAAAAACATAAATAAATAGACAGAAAATGTATCTCAATTATTTCAACTATCCGATTGAGCTATTTTATTTGGCCGACTGCCCAGCTATGCTCCAATTCATAGCCAAATATAATCAGAGATATTATGGAGCCAGGATAGACAAATAGTTGAATGTGTTAATAGACACGTCAAAAAAAAAAAAAAAACTCGATTTACAATTATAGTAGACTCCCGATAATTCGATGGCACGGGGATCAGTTTTTTTTTTTTTTTTTTTTCTGATTGACACAGAAATTCAAATTATAGAGAATTATTGAGAGAGAATTATTATTATAATTTTTTTTCGATTTATCGCAGGGTGCACATTATCGAGTCTCGACTGTATTAGCTGTTAGTAAATAATAAAATGGTTTAAAATTAATATTGCATTTTATTAAATTCAAAGTAACTGTGTAACTAGAAAGAGAAGTGAATAGATGAGCAAATACATTATGTATATCTGTCTATGTATATCTACATATGTATGTATATGTATGTATATCAGTTTATGTATTTCATTATAATTCGTGAGCAACTCACAGTTGTTGTTGTTTTATTTACTGTGGCAACTCAAAGCTATTAAAATCGACGGATTCAACTAGTTGTCAATTATCCATTCACATGTTTCGCTTTAATTTAACAATTGCTGCAGCTGTTCAGTTAAATGAGCAAATGCTGTTGGCTTAAAACATTCATCAGTCTGTTTAATGAATAAAAACATTTACATTGCAACACTCAATAAATGAAAGACCTGATGGCCTCTTATACAAGTGTTTTATTATTATTATTTTTTAAGCCCAGCCGCTTGCTTGTTATATTTATTTGTTATTCGATATGCAATTGCTGGAAAACATTAATGGGAAAAGCATTGCCATTGGCAGTTTGTAGAGTATCTAATGGATCTAACATAGAGTAGAGCCCTAGAGTATCTAATAAAATGTCTAATGTTGTATCTGTTAGATTGGATAAGAGATTGTGAGGTAGTTTTATATTGTATGGGTGTCATATTTTGATATGAAAGGCTTCTTTTCAATTTGATCATAATTCATTAAATGATTCGAATGACAATGTCTTCGTGCTGCTTTTTAAGACTGAACTGAACTGAATATTTTCCTTGTTTTCCTTCTTCTTCTTCTCCTTGCTCTGATATTTCTTCACTTTCTTCTTCTTTTTCTTCTTCATCTTCTTCTTCTTATTTTTCTTCCTTTTCTTCTTCTTCACCTGTTGCTTTTTTCTTCTTCGTCTTCCTTTTCTTTTTCTTTTTCTTTTTCTTCTTTTTCTTCTTAATCACACTCTAGTTGAGTAAGCAAGTATCGATAGCATTATAAGGTGATCGATATTTAATCTTAATGTCATCCCCTCATATTCCTGTAGGTCCACAACAATAGACTAAACTATGTATGAGGCAGAGACCTTTAGGGGGCCTTACCTCAAAGCAACTATGTAGCTTACAAAGTGAACTCCAAAAGAGTTAGACTATTGTAACACCATCCATAAAATTTAATAAATCTATGCTGAGTATGATTAGAGTTTTAAATAAAATATACATAATTATATTAAAGGATGAATAAGTTGATATAGTGAATCGATTCAATTCGATTTGATTCAATTCGAGTCGATTCATATGGATTCGAATCTATTCTACTCAATTCCATTCAAAAGTTCAAAGCACTTGCAATGACTTCGAACGACGTCTGAGCTACAGTTCCTAATACATGTAAATATATTTATGGTTCACATAAAAAATATATTGATATTGAAAAAATAAAGCAGAAAAGTAAATATTTGTACACATCCATATATACAAACAAATTGTTGTTGTTGTGCATTTTATACTAGTTCACACCTTTTGTGACCAAACTTGAACACAAACTAAATAATTCAATTTGGTATCTATAAATAAAACTTTTTTTTGTTTTTATTTTTATAATTTAGGCACGCAGTTTGAGGAATTTATTTGACAAGTCTATGCAGAAAAATTTCTTTGTGCAGCGAGAACAATAGTAACAACAACAACAACAACAACAACATATCTAACTAAATGGAGCGAAAAGTTAAAAACTTGTTGTAGAGCTTTGGCCGTGTGTGTTGACTTTAGTCAAAAGGTGTGACAATATTTACAATGCGCTCCTAATTGAATTTATTACGTATGTGTTAAGCATTCCATTTGTGTGTGCATGTGTGTGAGCCTGCAAGAAGAATCAAACTCAAGTCATATTTGTGGTTGAGTGGGTGGGCGTGGCAATTGTATTACAGCCCATTATACAATGCGTTTATATATTTGAAACTAACAGAGCTCCGGCAGTGGGAAATATTTGACATTGGCAAAAATTTCCCATAGTTAACAGCAGCAAAAAGCTTTATAGCGCCATCTGTGTACGACTTGTGAATTACCAATTACTTGGAGTTGCTATAAAAAGTTTACCTGCGCAAGCAGTGCACTGCTTGCCATGTCTCGCCTAAGAGTATGCAATGCTCCTTGTGGTTGGTGTCCCTGCTAAGCATGAGGCTGTGTGTCTGTGCTACGTTGGTGCGGACTACGCGTCGTATACGCATCGAACTGAAGGCCCTCAGTGCAAGAATTTCGCGCCGATTGCAACTATTTTAATCCATTTGTTTGCGCGGTACGCGCCTCGAATGCCGGCTGCATGAGTAACGGCGAGCCAACGATTGATAAGATGAGCCATTAACGGGGCATCCGCGCGCAGCCTTCGCCCGTTTGCGCCAGCTGCGGCCCATGAAGTGGAAACGGAAATGCTTGGTATTTATGCAACGGGCGCCTCGATGCTTAATGCACGGCACTTGACCAACGCTCGCCCAGTTGGACGATAGCCGCAATAAAGATTAAGCGCAGATTCTTCGCTTATCGCTACAACGTTCGATTGCGACCGGAAGCTACTTCATGCACCTGTTTAACCGGAAACGGGCCATCAAGTGTGCCAATATTATAACATATTTGCCATGACCAAGCCCCAAACGCTCCCTCCACTCAATCAGTCAACGAGCTGCGATGCCACAGCAAAGGCAAATACCAATTTTGGCCTCCACAAAGTTCGACGATCTGCGACCCAGCTGAATACCGTTGCCAGACTTGCCAAGCAAATATTTGAGCTGAATGCGAGTCCTAACTGTAAGCGGTACATGCATTTATGTAGATATTACTTCATGCAATTCATGTGCGAATCAAATATATATATATATATATATATATATATATATATATATATATATATATATATATATATATATATATCTATATATATATATATATATTGTATTATAGAAGAGTCTACTTTTTATTTTTTATTTATTTATTTATTTATTTTTTTTTTTTTTTTTGTATTTAACTGGATTACAAAATACCAAAGGGCTCGACTTTGGTAGACAAATACTCATATATGTATAAGTACTTTATTTTAGTTTAGTATATACCGACTTTAGTACATAGAACCGGATTCCGTTGGGAGCTCTCAGAGCCTATATTCTTAATAGGCATAATAAAAAATACTATATATGGGCAATTCTCTAGTGGCGAATGTGACATTCGTACGTTTTTGAGTTGAAAAAAAAAAAACGAATGCCAAAACATATTTTTATTCTGACGAATAGTGAATCCTTTAGCTCTTGATTAACTCTATAGTTGGTGATAAATCGGATTTTAGGCAAATGTTAGTTTTCAAGATAATCACTTATTCGGCTTTGTGTCTCAATATTTCGAGATGTATTATGATAAATGTAAAATGGGTTTATATTAGTCAAATTTGATGGATTAGTTATAAAAAAAAATATGTTAGCAAAATATGCTTTCATTGACTTTAAATGTTTTGGCTGCGGTTGACCTTTCAGGAGAAATGCCCATATATAAAAAAAATTCAAATAAAGCGTTCTATGGTCCTAATTTTTTATTATGCCTAATTCAATAGAGAATATCAAAACTAATTTTATCGTAATGAATTTAAAAAATTAGAAGACAATGAGGCACAGCAAAAAACCTGAGGGTTAGGAAACAGGCAAAAGCAATTTTTTTTTTTTTTTTTTTTTTACGGAAAATTAAAAAATAGGATCAAGTTTTCTTTTCAATTTGTATTTTAATGCAGAAGATGGGGGAAACAGGATTGGGGAAAAGCCTAAGATATTTTTTCTTTTTAACGGAAAAATTAAAAACAGGATCAGCTTTTCTTTCCAGTTTTGTATTTTAACGGTTATTTATAACCACCATATATAATTGATTTTTGGACCTTCAATTAAATATATGCGGAATTCCAACTCAATTGCTCTTCAACTACCATAGACTCTGAGACACCTGGGAATGCATTTTCCGATTTTCCACACTAGAGAATTAGTGTGTGGGCAGATCACCTTATAATTCCAGGGTATACACGAGTATATAGAGTAGAATATAAGTTTGTCTGGGGTCCCAAATTTTTGTCGCAATAACCGTAAGGACGCCATAAACGGAGTCGTTATAGCCGGATTCTACTGTACATCAAATCTAGAGTTTCACGAATGGACAGCAGGATGAATATTGCACAAATCCTATATACTCATTTCATATTTGTGAATGAGTATACAAAAGTCAACTGAATTTGCAATAAAATCTCATTTTGGTATTTTGTCTCTTTTAGGTTTATTTTCAAACACAGCTTTCAATGCTTATAAACTTCCTTGGCACATGTACGTATGTGTGAGGGAGATGTGTGTATACACATATACATATATATACACACATATACATGGGTATGAATATTTATGTATTTAAGTTTGTTAATATTTGTGTAATTTGTTTTGATTTTCATTTATTTTCTTTTCTTCTTTTCTCTTTTTTTTTTTTTTTTTTTTTTTTTTTAGATTTTCTTTTCGTGGCTTTGCTTGGAATGACATTTTGCATCGATATTTGCTGTGGCATAAATATAGTATAAATACTCTTTAATAATTTACATTTGTTTCATTCTCACTAAGAACTATTCAAAAAAAGGGTGTAATTAATTACTTAAAATAAATCACAGCGTATCTAAATATTTTTGTTTTTCATTTGTTTCTTGTCGATTTGTTGTTGTTGTTGTTGTTGTTGTTGCTGATGTGTTGTTTCTATGCTTGCAATTGAACAACGATTAAATAAGTGATGTGTATAAATAGGTGATAAAAAAAAAGAAAAAAAAAATACAATGCAATGCAATAAATACAATAAATAAATAAATAAATAATTATTAACTACTTTAACACGTAACTGTGAAATGCAACTAAATGAAGACTTAGAAATTAACTGGAAATGGTCATACGAATGTCACTTGAACAATAAATAAGTACTTGTATATGTGTGTGTGTGTGTGTGTGTGTGTGTGTGTGTGTGTGTGTGATCCTAACTATCCGCTCAACGGAAGTAGCTGTGATTATACTTGGATATAATACTAAATACAACTAGCATAAATATTAAATATAAATAAATAGGTTTAAGCTCTATGTGGCCTGTGAGGCGGAGGAACAGTGCGAGGGGGGTCACATTCGGGGGGTGGGGTAGGGTGGTGTTGGATTGGTGTTCGAGGTGTACTCAATATATGGCATTTGTCAAATTCACGGTGTCAAATTCACGCGCAACTAGGAACTGTGCACAGCACTGGGAGGCGCTAATACTGGATGCAGGTCAGATGTAATTCGAGGAGGAGTTTGGTGCTCCGCTGGCTTAGCAGTCGCCAAAATTGGAGCAGCCGCTGTCGTTGCGCGTGCCAGTTGATTGGCCGGACTGGCCCGATTGGGCCGACTGGCCGGATCGGCTGCCCTCGGAGCTCTCCAGGCTGATCGCCTGGCGGGAATTGGAAACGGCCGAGCTGTGCGGCTGGCTCTCGGCGCTGTGGCGCCGCTGCTTGCGCTTGTTGAGCGCCCGATGCAGCGACTTGGACATGTTGTCCAGAAACTGAAAGTACAGCTGCTTGGTGAACTTGAGGTCGCGCTTGTCGGCCTCCTTGCTGCCATCGGCGGGCGTGTAGAAGTCCAGATCGGCCTGCATCTTGGCCCGGCTAACCTGGTTCAGCTTGGCCACATTGCTGTTCGGATAGGATGCATTGATGGTCGTCTCGATCTCGCAGAGCACACGGCGCGCGCTCACCAGCAGCTTGTGCAGCTCCTCGGTCGACTTGCCAATGGGCAGCTGGTGCTCCTTCTGGTATTTGTAGTGCGCCTTGCCCAAGTACGCGAAGCTGCCCACGAAGGTTTGGATGCCGCGGTACCAGGTCTGCAGCATCACCTGTAATTGGTCGAAATCGACAGAGAGAGAGAGAGAGAGAGAGAGAGAGAGACAGAGAGAGAGAGATGGTTAGTCAATTGCATTACAACAACAACAGCAACAACAACTGCATTAGCCAGAGGAAAGGGCAAATGCAAATGCCGTTCAGCGAGTCCACGGAAACTGGTCTAAGCCGCCCAGGGCGGAGCAGGTCCCAGTCGCCGGGCAACGCATCAAACATTTTGCATGTGCGCTAATTCAGCTGCTGCCTCAGCTGCTGCATCCTCTTCCTCTGTAGCTTCTGCTTCGCCTGCTTACCTTATTTGTGGGACGCGTCATGTTTGGCAGGAAGGTGTACTCGCGCTGCCAGGCCTGAATGTCGCCGTAGTCCAGCTTGGCCGCCTTACGTATGTCTTGCAGTTCGATTAGCGTGTTGTTGCGCAGCAGCTTCAGATACTGCAAGAGCGAGAGAGAGAGAGAGGGAGAGAGAGGGAGAGAACTGTTTAGCTATTGTTTATTGTGAATACAATTGTGAATTGAACCAGTGAACCAGTTTCACTCCGGCCTGGCTTTCACTCTGCATTTGAACTCACATTGCGCTTGGCCCGCACCGAGATGTTCAGCTTCTTGGGCTGCTGGCGATCCGGCTGATAGACGCCGCCGCACGGATTCTCCCACTCGGGCGCCGCGTCCGTCCGGGCAAAGTACTGCAGCGCATGGCTGCGCCGATGCCGGATGCGCTGCCGCTGCAGCTCCCGCTTGACGGCTTTCATTGCCGCCTGTGTAATCTGCTCGTAGCTGCTCTCGCTTTCAGCCTCAGCATCAAAGATGCTGCTGCCGCTGCCGCTGCTGCTGCTGCTGCTGCTGCTGCTGCTGGCGTCGCTGCTGTCGTCGCTGCTGTCGCTGTTGTAGCTGCTGTAGCTGTTCTCGCTATTCTCGCTGTCGGCGTAGCTCTGCACCAGGCCATAAAAGGGATTCGCGTGCCAGGCGGGCAGCGATCTGCTGCTGTCGACGCTGGCGCCGCTGCCACTGGAGCTGTCCGCATCCTCGTAGGCAAAGCCCAGCGCCAGCTGATCGTGCAGATGGCGCGCGTGTGTCAATGGCAACAACGGCAGCAGCGCGGCCAGCGCAGCCAGGAGCACCGTATAGCTCGGAATTCTGTTGGTTCCGCTGCTGCTGCAGCTGCAACTGCAGCTCTGTTCTGCTCTGCTGGCGCTGTTGCTCTGGCTGTGTCTCTTGCTCGCGCAGTGCTTTGCTGCAAACGAAAGGAGCAACAAAATCAATTAAATACATAAACAGTTATATATGTAAATATTCATATAATATTTTATAATGAGTTTTACCCTGGCACATGGGAGTTTGCTCGCAGCTAAACAAAAATTCAAATTCCAATTGTAAACAACAAATTAAACTCGGCTCGCCTGCTCGTTCGATCTTGGCGTGCGCGCTCTGCGGCCTCTGCTCGACAACTGGCCAGCTGCGCACTCGCACTCGCACTCGCACAGCACTCGCACAGCACTCACACAGCACTCACACAGCACTCACACTCAATGCGCAGCCTCTCGCCATTGAGTGAGTGCTAAGCGGCTCAGCCTCCAGCTGAGAGCGACGCCTCTACTCGCCTTTGACCAAAGCAATTGAGTGCAATTGCCGGCTCTCTGCATATGCGTGTGTGTGTGTGTGTGTGCGTGTGTGTGTTTGTGTTTTATCGAAATTGTTAAACGGCGTTTGGCTGTGTCATCGGCCAATTGTGCTTCGCTTGAATTTCACAAGAAATTTGTAGATTACTCATCGAGCGCGTATTTTGGGTTTTTTTTTTATATTTTTATTTTATGATTTTCGAATGGAGATATTGCTTAAAGGCAAAGCCGCTGTCACAGCAGCAGCAGCAACAGCAGCAGCAGACGCTGACCAGACAGACAAGTCGCGCGCAACGGCGACGTCATCGTTGACCAATTGGCCGCGGGGCAACGCGTCGTATGAATAATTCATGCACAATACAAATTCATTCAAGAGCAGCGTGCGCTCGCTCGCGTCGTGCCGCCTCGTGCCTTGTCGTGCCACGTCGTGCTTGACTATCGCCAGCAGCAGCAGCAGCGGCAGCGGCAGCGACTACGACAAGCACAAACGTTTGCTGTTGCCGTAGGTCAGCAACTTCGCATGCGATAACAACAACTAGCAACGGTAAACGCAAAAGCAGCGACGGCAGCGACGGCACACGTGCTACTGCTCATGTGTCCACTAGAAAGTTCCGCTTGAGCCACTGATTAATCGTGGCTCATAAATGTATTTCATCAAGGTGGAATATACCAGCAATATAGATATATATATATATATATATACGTATACATATACATATATATATATTTATATATTCCCATATTTACGCTTATCGAACTGTGCAGAAAAACCGGCGAACATGTGATTCGATTAATTGAATGATTATCTAGCCAGATTAAGACAGCGATTAACTTGGCTAGATTATAGTTATTGCACTTTAATTGTTGCCCAATTAAAGCTGCTCAGTTGCCTTTGAGTTGTTGTAGTTGTGGTTTTTTGCCAAACTAATGAAGAAGCTGCTGCTGCTGCTGCTGCTGCTGCTGCTGCTGCTGCTGCTGCTGCTGCTGCTGCTGCTGCTGCTGCTGCTGCTGCTGCTGCTGCTGCTGCTTCAGCTATCTTCTGCTTCTTGATGCTCATTCAAGAAAGTGAAACGAGTATATTGGCTTTGTTGCAACATACGTCTATCTATCTGTGCGTCTGTCTCTCCATTTCGACTCTATTGATAGAAGATGCCCGTACTGACGCGAATCATACAGATATTCCCCAAGCTCCCGCTGAAGGGGCGTGGCAAATTGAAAAATATCGTAATTTTACGGTATTTCAGAAACTATTCGCCATATAATCTTGTGCTAACAATTTCTCTAATATATGCTGGATATGTGCATGCCCATAAGGGGCGTGGCTAATGGAAAAAAAAACATTTGAGAGCTAGAAACTCGAAATTGATCGACTAATTTACTATCGACAGCCCTCTATTGATTTGCATACAATATGCAATATGCACACATAGATTTGGGGGCGTGGCAAGGCTCAAAACGGATCAGACAGTGAATGACTATTCTGCAGTCGTTAACGCCCGACTGCAATGTTCGCACTTGTTCTTCTACAGTTTGTTTTTCATTTTTTTTTCCTTTTGGCTTATTTGTTGCCTTTGGATCTTTGGAATAAACAATGACTTTGTCTTGGGGAGTTCCCGAGGTGTTTGGTCTAAGCTAGAGGCAAAGATAATTGTTCGATATATCATAAAGTTTTTAGCGGGCTTTCAAAGTTTTTATTACCATTTTACTTGATTTTTTTTTTTTTTTTTTTTAATGATTCGAACTATGTTTTTTGTGTTTTTGTTTTCTTTTTTCGTTTTGTTGTTTTTTACTTTGATTTTTGGCTTTTTGGGTTAGTTCATCGTAGCGCTGAGAACATCGCTTTAAAAATGATTAAAATTTCACCACCGTCGAGCGATCGTAAATCGTGGTAAAGCCAGTTGAAATTTATTTGCTAGCCCGGTCTGTGAGTACTTTGGACTTGGCACTCGCTGCTCGTATGAGTTACTTACTTGTTTGGCTCATTTTAGCGGCTGTTGTTGTTGTTGTTGTCGTTGTTGTTGTTTAAATTAGTTGTTGGCTTTAATGTCTTATAATACTGAACTGGAGGCGCGTGCACTTGCCTAATGCTAATGACTTGTTTGTTGTAATTTGTTGTTGTTGTTGTTTTTTTTTTTTTTTTTTAAATTTCAGTTTCAATTTCAGTTTCAGTTTCAATTTCAGCTTCAATTTCAATTTCAATTTCAGTTAACGTTTTCGAGTTTCAGTTTTGAACTGAGTTCAGTTCGATGCGCTGCGATTCGATTTGGTTCGGTTCGATTGGATTCGCGAGCCGATGGCGATAATCATTGGCGTGCGCCTAAATAAGACTGATTCATGGTTCCGGCGAACACATTCATTTATATTTATACTTCCCAGATTCAGACGCTAGCAGCGGCAGCGACAGCGACAGCGGCTGTCGACAGTGTCAGCAGCGGCGGCGGCAGCAGCAGCAGCAGCAGCAGCGACAGCGACTGAGGCGTGCGAGAGAACAAATCGTAATCGTTATATGCTCATAATTATAATCATTATTTTATGGCACCGCCTCCCCCCGCCCCGCCCTCTAGCTCCCTTCGCTAAGCCAACTCCCCACTCGCCCTTACCTACCTCAGCCCCACCTGCCGCTGGCCCCATCAATGGCCCTCTCCTGCCATTCATAACTACACATACACACACATACATATCTGTAGATATGTATATACATGCATACATACATATATTTACCCCCACCACACACTACGTTAGGGGAACTTTTGCAGCTCAATGGTGTCAGCGGCTCCTCCTTCGCCGCCAGCTTCGCCCTTATCAATGACGCCGAGCAATTACGTCAATGTTTCTATACTTCGATCGGCTGGCTCATTCTTAATATTAACTTCATTGATGTAGCGTAACTGGAATTCTGTTTGAAGTTACACGACTCCTGACTCATTCACTTTCATTGAGACATCCTCTGCAACTCTCATCATCCATTTACCCGGCACTTGTGGAATTTATGAATGGAAACATGCAACAGAAAATCAGTTACACTGTTTTTTTTTATTTTCGTATTATTATTATTATTATTATTATTATTTTTTTTTTTTTTTTTTTTTTTGTTATTGCAGTTATTGGCAACCGTCTCACTCGCCAGCAATGAGGGTTTTATCTAGCCTTGCTCATTGCATTGTTGCATTTCGACAAACGCGGGAACAGTGGGCGAATTGAGTATCCACCAAATCGTTATGCTCCGCCTCAAATCTATATATATTTCGTGGTACAGAGCATTTTAGTGTAGAGGCTTTAAGTGTAGAGCATCTCAGTGTAGAGCATTTCGGTGTAGAGGCTTTCAGTGTAGAGCCTTTCAGAGTAGAACCTTTCAGTGTAGAGGTTTTCAGTGTAGAGTATCTCAGTGTAGAGCCTTTCGGTTAGAAATCTTTCAGTATGTAGCTCTTCCAGTATGGAGCTTTTCCATTTAGAGCAGCCTGTCAGAATAGAGTTTTACAGAGCCCTGCAGTGTAGAGCCTTTCAGTATAGAGGTTTTCAGTGTAGAGGTTTTCAGTGTAGAGTATCTCAGTGTTGAGCATTTCGGTGTAGAGCCTTCTAGTTAGAAATCTTTTAGTATTTAGTATGAAGCTCTTTCATTATGAAGCTCAAACAGTATAGAGCTCTTCCCGTATGGAGCTCTTCCATTTAGATCCGCCTTTCAGTATACAGCCTATTAGCACGGAGCCCTGCTGTCTAAAGCCTTTTAGTGTAGAACCTTTCAGTGTAGAGTCTTTCAGAATGGAGCACTGCGATATAAAGCCATGTAGAGCCTATCAGCATGGAATCTTTCAGCATGAATCCTTCCCTTGATGAGTCCTTCAGCATGGCCTTAGACATCACAGAGCGCAAGCTGAATTTGTTCCTCAGGGGTTGCTTGCTGTCACCTTGGGAGGCGGTGCAGGATTGCGTTTTGCACTTGCGCCTTATAGAGCAGACCTTAAATTTGGCAGGAAGCCGCAGATCGCAATGGACACACGTTGGTGCTTTAACCTTTTCCCTTTTCACTTTTCCATCGGAAGCAGGTTTCCCAGTGCATCTTACTCTCAGCTGGATAAAATATGGTCCAGAACTTGTTTCTTGCGTGGAGCCTGAGCTATGCCCTTTCAGCTCCTCATCTATTTGCTTGAAGCAGTTTAGGACAACCTAAATATGGCTTGCCAACTTGGAACTGATAGCAATGAAGCTCCCAACTTTGCTTTTGAAAATGTTTGATGACTGATTGAGCTAAAGCTCCAAAGTTCTTGGCTTGATGGTACAGGACCTAGCTTCTATAGCTTGGCCAACTGGCTGCTGAAATAATGCCACGGATTTGATGTCTAGACACCAAATAAGAGGCGAACAATGCTTTCCTCGAACGACAGGTTGATCGATAAAAGTTTCGAGCCTCTGGTGTTCCCCCTTTGATGAGCTTCTTGGTGCTGCTACCTTGCACAGAAGTCATATCACTGGCATTTGCGTTTACAGCTGTAAGTAGCACATGCCTATTAGTCATGCACCGGACTACCATATCTGCTCTTATTTTTTCGACTTCCGCGGGGGTATTGACCATCGACGTCATCGCAATCGTCGCTGGCATTAAGCGATAAAATATATTAACTTACAGTTTCATTAAATACCACTAAAATTACACGAAAACAAGCGAAGCTTCAAATGAAGTCAATCTCTCTTTTTGCTTTGCAGAATGCATTCCAATGCTCGACATTTAGAGCAAGGAAAAATCGATATGCTTAACTAATAACCAAATGATCGCCCTTGAAATTATATTAAAAAATATATATATAAGGAACGATATAAAAATACGAGTATAATTCGCATGCACATTCAAGAAAATGAAACGAATATATTGGCTTTGTGCAATGTTCATGCCTCTGTATACCCTCGAAGCATAACATATCAAAATTGTTCCGATCCACCTACTAGGAAATACATCTGACCGCGTTTGGGCAGTGAATGAGTATTCTACAGTCGGTAAGGCCCGACTGTTGGATACGTAAATTATTGATATACATATGCCAGAATAAGAGTCATGTGCCCTCTGCTAATACTCGATTCGGTATGATTATTATTAATATATATTGATATTCATGCATGAACATGTTCATTCCAGCACAGTTTTTGGGGAGTATAGATGATAAAGAATTGCTCCGCCTCGAGTTCAACGTACAAAATTAAACTGAAGACTCCTAGTATCATAATTACGATCATAAAGCACTCACATGACTCTACGACTGAGTTATATCAAAGTTAGATTATCGCTAAGTGGCCAAACAATTAGCGTTTTCACTCTGACTTAAGACTCTGTAGAACCAACTGAATCGAGTTGCACAGACAACAATAGTATCTGTTTTTTTTTTTTTTTTTTTTTTTTACTTTTTTATTTATTTTTTTGGTATTTATAGAACAGCAAGAAGTCTATTTTTAATATCTACCTGAGGTAAACATGGTCAATCTAAAAATAGCTCCGTGCCAAATGCAAGGTAAACAATGCCTTAAATAAATGCTATTTTTGTGCTATCAGAAGACGGCTAAGTACCCAAAGTAATTGATGTGCCGCGCCTTGAATGCCATCATATCATATCAAATTTAAATACTATCTACATATGTAGGTATTAAGTATACAACGTGATAGTCTCCATTGAAGACCTGAAAAGTTTCGCGTATGAATTTACAGTTTTTTGTTGAATTTTTATTGGTCATGTGTTTTTCATATATAAGAAATGATCGTAAATAAGTGAATATGTTTCCGAAACAGTGTGAATAAAACCGATAAGAATTTCGCTTCTATTTCCGATTTGTGGCCCAAAAATCCCTGCTTCCATTCGGCTAAGTCTCGCAATCTATGCAAAGCTGTAAAGTGTATTAGTTAATTAATAATTTATTACACACCGTTGATAAACTATGTGCAAATGCCCATAAACGGATTGAGTCACGGCCCAATTAACGTGTAGCTCTTCTTCAGCTGCTTTATTGACCACCTCTTGCCTAGCACTAGCACCCACTGTGTGCCGCTGCCTAATCAGACTCGGGCTAGTTGTAGGTGTGGGGTCTCCAGCACTGCGCAACATAATCGGGAACATAAAACAAGAAGAAAAGAAAAGAATAGAGCCAAAAGAAAAGAATGAAAAACAAAAGAAATAGCTGCAGAAATGAGAGGAAAAGTGTAGAAAACAAACGGCAAGGAAAAAGAAAGGGAAGTAGAGAGAAGTAATCTTAAGAGAAGAGAGAGAAATCCCAAAATGAAGGATCGAGAGTAAAAGATAATGAAATGAAACAAAAGAAAAGAAAGGAATAGAAGGGAAAAACAGCGAACAGAAAAGAAGAGAGGAAAATAAAAGTCCACAAGAGAAATGAAAAAATAAAGAGAATAAGAGGGCTAAAGACAGAACTAATGGAATGAGAAGAAAAGATAAGCAAAGAAAACGAGCCAAAAAGAAGAGCAACAAAATGAAATCGATAGAGAAAATAGGCAAATGAAGAACCCAAAGGGAATAAAACAGATCAAAAGATATGAAAAGAAGAACGAAGAGAAGAGATCTGCAATTCCTTGTGCAATATCGACTTAAATGAGAGAGAAGGAGAGACAGACAGGGAGAGGTAGATAAGGATAGAGATTGAGATAGTGAGAGAGAGAGAGATAGAGAGAGAGGTAAATCCTGAAATCGATTGAAAAATCACAGCTACACAAAACTGGCGTTAGATCGTCAAGTGTGTTGGCCAGTGTAATTAGCCGCTTATCATTAATAATTATTAATTATGTCATTAGCCTGTTATCACAACGCGGGAGTGGAAAGTTCTTGTCTATGATTTGAAAATTATGTCAGGAAAGGAACTTTGGACTGGGAATCACACTCGCTGTTCGGGTCTAGTTGACTAATGTCTCCAAAGTGACACACACACACGCACACACACACACACATGGACAAAGAGTTATCATAGGGTATAGGTAGTTGGCTAAGTTGGGACAATTGACGGCACATTAAGGTATTGACAGACATGACATGAGGAATTGACTCATATGCCCAGGCTGGGCTGCTTGCTGGCTAACGGTACCATAAAGTCAGTTGACGCCACAGGGCAGAGATAGTGTAGCTCCAGTCCAGGCGTAGTCAAATCAAATGTTTGGGAACCATCTATTTATATTTGCACTGCCAACCTGGCGCTATATTTATTTCTGGGCAACGGCAACGGCAACGTGACGTATACTCAACGCGTTGTGACGTAGGCGACGTTGCCAATTGCGAATTCGCATTAATTGCCATTATTATCAGCTTGCCTTACCCTACCTTACCATGCCTGGGA